TGCTGTTTCTCACTGTGTTTCTTTGTGTAATCTGGGTGAATTATTTTCTTCATTCTATGAAGTGAAGATAACTTTCTACAGAGCAATTGGCTATGCTGATTGTAACGCTCCTTACTCAGCACCCAGCGTTGTCCTCAAAGGTGGAATCGATTTGTGCTGATAGTGGTTGCTGCTGATTAAAAGGTGTAGGATGAATGACATGACTGTACTGTCATTCGGTGTTGCAGAGGAAGGAGGAGATTAGATTTCAAAGACCTATGGGCTGCTACTATTCCCCTCTTAAGATGACTACTTGCAGCACTTTTTGAAAAGTAAACATTTCTGCAAAATACCATTAATCTAAAAAAAATGACTGTAGGAATCCTTGTAATTCCCTGTTCAGTACGTTCTGGGATTGAAACGTAGGATTAATGTGCATGGCATTTTAACTGACTCTCTATTGTTGTGCCATTACCACAGTTATTAAGTTTGCTAGAGAAATGTGATTTTTAACCAGAGTTTTGATTCTTGTTTCTTGTATTTTTAGGGACCAGCAGCACTAACACGGTTGGGGCTACAGTGAACAGCCAAGCACCCCAGTCTCAGCCTCCTGCTATTGCCTCTAGCCGAAAAGGGACTTTCACAGATGACCTGCACAAGCTGGTAGATAACTGGGCCCGAGATGCCATGAACCTGTCTGGCAAGAAAGTTGGCAAAGGGCATAGCAACTATGAGGTAAGACTTAACCCATGAACACTTATGGCAAGACACTGTCAGTGTCATCCCTATCTGTTAGGGTACCAAATGCAGCTAGAGTAGTTTCCACGTAGCCTGGAAAACAGCTCTAGAAAGATGCTGGCTATATCTTTCATATATATGCTGGCGGGGTTATGTCACCGTCTGTGGAAGAGAATGGGATGACTAGAGAGGAAGTCCATGGTGTGTTCTTGTAAACATCCATTGGGCATGGCCTTTGGACCAAAGGGGTAGCCTATGTTTTTTTTAAGCACAGTTGTATAACTTCTTTCGGGGGCTGGATTTTCTTTCAGGGCCCTGGAATGGCAAGAAAATTCTCAGCACCAGGTCAGCTTTGTATCTCTATGACATCTTCCTTGGGTGCTACGCCCATCTCTGCAGCATCAGCTACCTCTTTAGGTCCCTTCACAAAGGCTATGTGCCCTCCGCAGCAGTACGGTTATCCAGCAGCATCTTTTGCAGCTCCGTGGAGTGGGACAGGTGGTCCAGCACAGCAGCCACTTGGCCAGTTCCAGCCTGTAGGTGCCGCATCTTTGCAGAGCTTCAACATCAGCAATTTGCAGAAATCTATCAGCAACCCCCCAGGCTCCAACCTGCGGACCACTTAGCCACGCTCAGAGACCACGCTGGCTGGACCTTGGGACAGGACATGGGGAGGGAGATGGGGCCCTGTATCAACTACTAGTGCTGCAATGAACTGGTAGCTTGCCAGACTGGGAATGAATTTCTCTTTTCCAACCATTGCTGTCAGCTCTCTGTAAAGGGAGTTTCCCCACACACTTTCAAGGGGGAGGAGGATGATCAGCATCCTTATGATGGGACAGTTCTTTTGACTGAACAGCCTTGCTCTCGTATGGAAGGAGAGCTGTGAAGATAAGTCATGGGGTCAGTTAATGCAGTCTGGCTGTAAAATTCCTCTGTGGTTTGAGGCTGAATCCACATGTGTTGAGATGGGAGAGGTGAATCCTAGCATGAGGCTTTAGCACACTTCTCATCTCTCCCTGAAGAACCAAGACCAGGAGAAAAGCTGTCCAAATCCCCCTCCTCTCCCTCTCCCCAAACAATCGTATTTGGCTCCAGAATGATGGGGCACACGAATGGACTTGCAGTGCAGCCCGTGCTTAATAGGTCATTACTGCTTTAAGTAAGATATTAACAGCTTTGACTGCAGCATTAGAGCAATTTAAATTGTTTAAAAAAATTTAAAAGTTCCCTGCGGACATGTACTTACCATCAGTTTTGATGTGGAAACACTGTGATATATAAATGTTGTTGGACAACAGTAGTTTAAAAATGAGTGGAATATAGAGGGTTAAAAAAGTTAAAAAGAAAAAATGGAAAAAAAGCTAGCTATATCCTTATACTTATTGGAGACACTTTAACTTTTTCCTTTGTATTTTCATTGTATTAGATAAATAAATGTGAATGTAAAATTGTATAAATTAATGTACTTGAATACTTGTCTGTTCTCCCAGTATGCTTGCTGGATATTTTAGTGCCTTGGACTTCTATTGCTTCTGCAGTTAGCATCATCTTCCCAGCAGACCCCCAGATAGACAGAGGGCAAGTTCAGAGCAGGAGGGATGTGTACCTAGTGGTTGGGACATTAAAGAGTTAACAATTGGAGCGTTTAGTTAGTGTTACTGTAACTGTCTAGAGTAGGTGTTTGGAGGGGGGGAAGCCATTGAGGCTGTAGGTCGGAACAAAGTTCTGAGCGATGGGGAAACTCGTCCAAGTGCGCAGATCTCAAGTTGTTGGTGTGATGCTGGTGTGAGGAGGGCCAGATGGGGGAGGGATGGAGGGTGGCAGGTGAAGCTGAGGTGAAACTAACTGGTCTTGTCTAAAGAGTTAGGAGGTCTGGAGCTGAAACGGAGATGATGGTGAGAACATGTGTCTTGGGAAAGGTCCAACTTAAGATGTGGCTTTGACTCCACCTGTGAAGTGGTGAAAATGTTTGGTCAGGATGTAGTATGAGGGAGAGGTGTCATTGCTCGTTGGCATGGGCTTGTCTGCTGGGATTGCTTTTCTTACTTTTTTTTTTTTTTTTCTCTGAATTCGTTAAAGCCAGGAATAGACTGTCCTGGTGCAATGTCCATTGCCGGCAATGGATGCACTCGAAACAGCCGGCATCAAGAAGTTTCCTCTGTTTTGTTTTGGAGGATTTATGATTTTGTTCACTCTAAAATTTCAAACTGGTACCAGGACTGTAACCAACTGTCACCTCTTAAGGACCTGTACTGTACCTTCTGCTTTATTCATTTCCCCTTTTCATATTGAAAAATACTGGTTCCCTCTTCAAAGTAAAAAATAATACCAACCAGTATTTATATAGTGCTGCAAAAAGTTGTGAAGGGTCAAAGTACTGCTTCCTGGTACTTGGGAGTAGCTCAGTTGCATTCTGGAAGTTGGTGCATCAAGGAGATGTTACTTGCCTGATTTTTCTTCTGGGAGTGCTATTCCCTTGTGGAGCCTTACTAGGGAGTTTTTCTGTCTCTGGATGTTCTCACTCTTATCTTCGAAAACAAAAGCGCAAGGTCTGTTTCTTTCCTGACACTTTTTTTTTTTTTTTTTTTTTTCCCCCAAACAGCAGTTTTCGCAGCAAGGGCATGCACAAGCTAGCGATGAAAGTTGAGGGTGAAAGCTAGTGGCAAGGTGGCTGGATTCCAACCGTTCCTCAGCTTTGGGGGTTTACTCTTTGTAACTAACGTGAGGATGAGAACCACAGAACGAGAGAGGAGGCTCATAGTTGCAAGTGTGATGGAAAGGCAGGAAGAAAATGGCAGGGGGGTCTCTGCTGCTAAAGTTGAACAGAAACCCTCTGCTTTTTGGTCTGAATGGACGCAGAGAAGAGTTTCCTGAATACACCAAGTGTACAGTGGAAGCATGCTCTGTGTAAAGGAGCAGTTACAAACCTGAGGCAGTAATGAAACAAGGGGAATAATTTCATGACAGGGGAACTAATCAGCTAAATGCAGCACATGGTTATTAAATTTTGATCTAATAGGTTTGAAGTCGTTTTTCACTTAATGTTATGCAAGAACTGGTTTTATTTACCATTGATTTTTTTTTTTTCTTCCCCTCCTGTGGATGAATAACTGAAGTCTAGAGGAATAAACTAATGCTACTGAACTGTTAAATTATTTTGTTTAATATTACACTTTGAGTATCTTTTTCCACATAAAATCTGTTTCTGAATTACAAGCGTTTTCTTTACATTATTTAACAATGTACACTGTAAAAAAATAAAAAAAAAATAAAAAAATAAAATGAATTCAAACTTTGGGCTTCCCTGGCCGTAGTTAGTTGTATGTTTTGCACTAAAACCAGGCATTGCGCTCCTTGTATGACTGCGCTTTGTGCTGCAATTTGTTACCTTTGTAGAATACTTAACGAAATCATTCAAATAAACCAAACCTGCTTTTGTTGAGCTGTGGGTTTTCTTGTTGAGCAGCAGGTTCCAACCTCTCCTTCCTATTCATGGAGTTATTTTAACTGTCTGTTACCCAATTTATCAGTTTATCACAGGAAAACACAAGAAACCCATTTTAATGAGACCCTTAACTTCTCAAAAGCAGTGATCAGTAATGAGTCTTTGACCTTTTAATAGAATACTCTGAAGCAAGAAACTATAAAAACAGTTCATAGAATGAATCTTCTTTATGAGAGGATGAATAGAAATGTTTAAGGGGGGGGGAGATGAAGGATAACATAAGACATAGTGGTATGGGTGCTGGTATGGCTGACTTGTGAAGTTACCAAGTAGCCGGTGAAATATGCTTAATTATGACAGTCAAAAACTTGGCAGGTCTCCCAGTTGGAACTATAGGTATGTGTTTAACTTGCAGAAGTTCTGTGCTTTCTTTTGGCAATGAAGCTAGAGCAGGATGTGCTGAAAGGGCCTGGGGAACGGTCCCCGCTTTCCCCTGTAATCCTACTTCTCCTTTACTTTCCTCTCTGGAGAGGAGAAGAAAAAGGGTGCGCATCTGTGCAGCTGGGCAGAAGAAACTCTTCAGTATAAATTTAATATGAATTCCATCCCCAAACTTTACTGGTAGATAAATAGGAAGAGTGGAGCTATTTTATAGGGTCATTCTCAAACAGCTGTGGAGTTGCAAGAATTATTTGGTATTTCTAAACACTAATTACTGCTGCATTTCTTTCCATTTTAAGAACAGCTTCTGTTATGACTCATGCTGCTCAAGTCCTTAAAGGAAAAGAGGAGGGAAAAAAAAAAAAAAGCTTCAAGTGTAAGCTTTGCTGTTTTTTAAAAAAAGGACATATCCTGTGATATGTATTTCAGTGAATTCTTTTAAAGGCGGCACATCCACATTTGCTCTGGTTTTTTGTAGAGTCAAGAGAGCTGTTGTTTTGAACGTATGAGGGCTCTTGCATTTTTCTTGCGAAAGTCTGGCAATGCTTTGTGTTCGTGTTGTCTGCACATTCCCTTCCTAACAGGTAACTTATTTCATTTGTCAGTATGTGACTTGAAGATGTGGTACGTGGTTCTTCCCAAAGCTGTTCTGAACTCACCTCTGAGAGAGCAACTAGTTTGGTGAAATGTGAAACTATTTTCTAGGTGGCTTCTGACCATGTGATCTATTACAGATAATTATAACTTGTCCTGCCTTAACATAATAAAAACAGTCCTCGTTCTCTGTCCTGTTTGGGAGGTAGATGGATAGTAGAGACTCTTTGAGAAAGGAGGACCGATTAAGTGGTGAAGGGAAAAGGTAAGGTCTTTGGGAAAGCAGGGGAGGAACAGGAGTAAATTCTTAATACCTCAAATGTATTTACATTTAGATTGCTTGAAGAAACTTGACCAGATAGACCAGTGATGACAAAGCAAAGGAACAAGGTCCTGTTTCAAGTCTGACATTGATTTCAAGGTTGGAATAATCAGAGTGTAAAGCATTCTCCTGGCTCAACTCTAACTGGCTGTGGCACTCTGTCTTACATCCTTGTCTCTGGTACTGCAGGTTGTTCTGCAATACAAGCCCCCTCCTTGAGAACTGGGGACCTCTAAATGCCACCAGGGTGAGAGCTGCCAGAGCAGGTGCCAGCCTGAACCCTCCTGCAGTGCAGCCAGGTTCCTGCCTGGCCAAGCAGCAGCTGTAGCTGCTGCATCTCTTCACTATAGGGAGGGAGAGGGCAAGAGCTGTCCAGTAGGACACTTCCCTTCCTGTGGGCAAACAAGAGCAGTGTGGCTATACTATCCTGGCTAGAGCAGTAGTTCTCAAATAGTACTTACAGTCTTCTTTTAACCTTTTCTTCCACTATCTTATTAAAAGGAACATCACTTGCTTTGCTCTAATGTTTTAAAAAAAACACTTGCACCTTTTTCCTACTTGCTTCTCATACTAAAGCAAAGGCTGTGATAGCCTTTAGTTTCCTACTTGCACCTACTCAAGAATGTTAATTTCTTTCAGCCTGTTAAACAGGAAATGAGTTTTAATGGGTTGAACAGCACTGAGTCACGAACAGCTTCAACTGGGGTTTGTTTTCCAAGTTTCATGTTTATTTTGACATTAAAAAAGGACTGAAAGCTTATCTAAAAACTTCAAGGAACAAAACTGCAACTCCCATCCATTTTATAAGCAGCCCAAGCAAATACTGTCTGAGACTGAGATACCACATGCAACTACTCAGCCGCAGTCCCAGTGTGCTCCTGCCCCTGTGCTGTCCTGCTGCAGCAGCGCAGCTGAATGAGGAACACCTTGGGGAGGACAGTTATGTCCATGTGAGCAGTTCTAACGCCACCGGTGCAGCGGTTGGAGGCGGATGCTGACACCAGCAATTTTAAGCACTCAGCCTGGCTGAATGCAAGACCCCAGCTTGTACACTTTCCATCAGATGACCTTAATCCACTTTCTCATTTAGCATGGAGGAAACCATTTTCCAGTTGAAATGCAACACTGAGGAAGAAAGAAGCAATGACTTGCAACTCATACCAAGGATTAATTCTGCTATCATTTCAGGCGAATTAATTGTAATTTCAACTTGTAATACAGCCACAAATTTAATGCTATAGAAGCACTAATGATTGCTTCTTTATAGAAAAAGGCATTTGAAACGTTTTAAAGGACCCCCCCCCGCCAAAGTACATTAAGGTCTTCATGGTAGGCTGTATTAAGTTCTCTCTTCTGTGTTGCATCATCATAATATACAGGAAAAAAAATCCATTAATGCTTTATTTCTTGACATAATTTGAACAGCCAACGGCAGTCCTCTGATGTAATTCAGTGATGGTAATGATACCACCAGTTGTCTTATGTAGGTTCTAGCCTCCTTTTCTTCAAGCTTTGGCTTCTATGTGGACTGCACTCTGCTAAATAGGGAGATAGCAAGAAATGGAAAAATTCTTAAAGCTTTTTCTCTGCTTCAAAAAGCGCTCTTCAACTTGATTTTTCTCTAGGTTTTCTTTGAGAGGATCATTAGGTGGAGAAGGGGATAGTTCTCCTACTCCACTGTCACAGTACTCTGCAGACAACGCCAGGAAAAGTGGGCTGTTTCTCTCACTCCAGTTGGCTAATCTAACAGTGATCCTGTCAAAGCCAAGTGCCATTGTTAAGACAGAAATCATGTCACCTGCTCCCATTTTTTTCATAGCACGTACCTGATACGGGCCAGTTGGCACAATGGCTATTGCTCATGAGATTAGTAGAAGGCTGCAATTGGGCAAGCCTTGCAGAAGACTTGTGATAATTTGTTCTTTGAGGTGTCCTGTTACGAGCAGTCAGTTGATGATGTCCAAGCGGTGTTTCAGGTGTCTGGTGTCCAGCGGATGGGCATGCCATTTTGTGGCCTGCTATCTTAAGATCAGTGGTCTCCAAGGAAATATCCCAAAGTTCAGGGTCATCTAGAATGAATCAAAAGAAGATCAAATTAAAGATGAGCGTATGCAACACAAGAGTTTAATACAAGCTACTATCAAGAACTTAATATACTTTTGGGTCATTAAAATGCTTCAAATGCCTTTTTCTATAAACTCTTCCTGTAATGATGGCCAATCTAAAAGTTAAACTGTAAAGCATATTTTATGTCAGTGCACAACAAGAAAATTACCCAAGGGGGGGAGGGGGGAACCATATATCATGAGAATTGGAGCAGATGGAGTTAAGCAATGTCAGGGCTCCACAGTCCAAGTGTAACTCAAATAACCATAGTTTTGTTAAGAAGATTCCCCTCCTCAAAACTGTTCTGTTCAACATTACTGTTCTGTTTCTGTGCAACATTACTTCAGGAAAAAAAGGTATACCAAATAGTTGTAACAATGCTCTGCTGAAGAAGGTGGTGTGAAACCCCTGCTAATGATGGAAATCTGCTCATCTCCTGTATGTTTTAAAATTATTATTCCTGCCTCTTCAGAAATTTTGCCTTCAGACTCTACTTTGAAGAGCTGATTTAAATGCTAATTGATTTAACATTTTGTTATCATTCATCAGTTTTTGGCTGACCTGCAAAGAATTCCTCTTCTATTGCTAATTCCTGTTGTGCTGTTGTTGGAGTGCTGTGCTTTACAGGAGGATCGGATGTTGCTGGACAAAGATAACACAAGAAGATTTTAATGACAGAATTACAGAAGAGCCCTTTCCCCCCTTCTAAAGGGATTGTGAATCTGAAACACTAAGCAGCAACTGCCACCAGGTACCTTCTTCTCCCAAAGCTGATTCTTGTGCTTTGGCAGCAGTATGCAGAATGGCAAGATGACGACTGGTAAGGGCAATTGCACTCCTTTAAACTGGTTTTGGCCTGTTTGTTTATACCTCCTCCCACCCTCCCCCAGTTCCTGCTTACAACACAGCTGTCCAGACTTCCCCATGAGTAAAGAACAACCTATTACTAGCTAATACGACGTCTATTTGTTGTCTTGGTGAAGTGCTGCAGCCTCACCTGGGGTGCAGCATGGGCTGTGCTACATGATGCTCTAGGGTGGCTGGACGGTTAGTTACAATTTAATGATGCTGTTCTTGAGCCCACAATTCTTTCACTTAAAAAATGAGAGTAAAAAGGTCTGATAATCCTCTTTCCTTTGTTCTCAAAGGCGTGTGATAACAGAGAAGCAAAAGAAACTGGTCAGACTCCTGTACCGAGGATAACGCGTTCCTGCCAGTATCTGTCGTTACAACTGTCAATTTTTAATGCGAAGTCTTACCCTGTTTGCTGCCTGAAGTAACTACTGGAACCTGATGCTTTTTCTCCATTTTTTCCCGGAACTGTTGCTGTAGCTGCTTTTGTCGCAATTTCCGCTGGTAAGTGGCATCACATTCAATAGCTGACGAGTCTATATTTCTGCCCCTCCCCCAAATAAGCACAGCATTGAATAGGATTTCAGCAATTACAATTTACGGAGAAGAAAGGCATAAAGAAATACTAGCAAGAAAAATCCAATAAAGCAGCATTTTGTAGCATCTTCCAAATTGGGTTCTCCACGTGTTTTAAGAGAGGCAGTAACTTCTAACATACCTTTTAAAATAAATTCATAGTAGTAATCTTACCTTGAACTATTTGGCTGTTTTTGATCTGCATCTGTGGAAGCCTCCATCTGACCAGGTTTACAAGTAGATACTGTGTCACCGTGTTGTCTCCATCCTGTGCCGTGTCTTTCCAAACAGCTATTGTATCTTGCTTTCTCTATTTCTGGCTCAAAGTCTTGTCTTTTAGCTTTGGCCAAATCCAAATCAGAGGGCATCTAGTAAAGGAATAAAGAAAACTAATTCAGAAGTTTCCTTCATCAACTTAACAAAACATGCAGAGTCATGTCACTCAGTTAGTCACTGACTTCATACAACTCTGTATTCGTTGAAATTGGCAGACCAGTGCTTCAGGACAGCTATCCCATGTTGCCCGTACCAGGCTCTGTGTATACGAGAATAGATGCAGATGACTCAGAATTATACAGCTTCTCACTCTCACAAATCTGTCCCTGGCATCTGTTAGTTTTGCCGGTTCCGTTTTCACACTTGTATTAAACGACATGGCAGGCCTGACACACAGCTCTGTAATCATGAGGGGGGCCTATACCCTTCTGTTTCTATTAAATACAGGATGGTTTGGCTCTGTGATTTTTTACCAACTTGTGGCAATGCCATTAACTGACAATGACCCTGGTGAAGCAGAAACCTGTGACACCTTTACTTGGGGAGGCCTCACTTTGGATCAGTTCCCACAACCTAAGTTTGCCAGACAGAACAGTGTTACAGCTCTAGGCTGATTAGCAGAGTTTGCTAAATCCTAGGCTGAAGAAGTTCCTATGAAAGTCTACGGACCGTCAATTGCAAAAGTTTTTCCTCAATGTGCAAAGCAGGTTACCGCCTACAAGCCTACTGCCCCCAACTGGTACACATCAGGAGTTAATAGATAGAGGCTGGTAGGTGCAACCAGAGGAACAGCCAGGACAACTGTCATACTATGAAGCGTTCTGTGCTATGTCAAAGCGTACACAGAAAGTGTGATAGCTCTGAAAGAATGGGGTTACCATATGGGAGTCACTGAGGGAGATGTAGTCACTATTTCTTATCTCTCTGGACCAAAAATCGCCAACAGTAAGAGGCATTTCTCCATGGTGTTGTGCGATGTCTGGTTGATCACCTCAATAGGTTCAGTTTGACTGAGTGCTTCACAGAGGGTGAAGTCACCGCAGCTCTTCC